ACGCCGGCAATCTGCTTACAATGCATCTGGGAAGCGGAATCTGGGGAGGGGCGATCGGATTCACTCGGGTTCACTCGTATAGCGCTCTCTCTCTCCTTCTCTCTACGTTATATCTTTTTTCTCTCTCGTGTGGCGAAATCTCGGAACGTTACTTTTTTCCAATTCACTCTCCATTCTCATCAAATATCAGAACGCCACCAAAGAAGTTTCACTTCAAAAATCATGAAGATGGTTTCATAAATGATAAAATTACAACTTTTGCTGTAACTTCCTTATTTTTGTGTATTATTTAAATTTACATTCTAGTTTTCGTCAAATAAAAAAATATGTTTTTTATGTTAAAAATTTGAATAGCTTTATAAGTAAATAAGTCATTTCAATATTTTTACAAGAATTATGATATTAAGTATTACGATTTCAATGAGGTATCTACGATCAATGTACATTGTACACTATTTTATAAAATATTACATACTGCTTTAAAGTTTTATGAACCACGTTAATATAATTTAATGCCTGCTAGCATGCTAGTAAAAGTAGTAGTAGTAAGTAAAAATTGAGGTGGTCGTATGTGATGTTTAAAAAAAAATCCCGATAATTCTAAATTGGGCCCAAATAAATAAAAAAATACCTTCCAAGTTTTAGCTCCTTATGTATACAACGTTAACACTGAAAATAAAAACAACGTTCTTTAATTTTTTTAAATCTCTCTTAGGAGGCCGTGGATGGCAGATTGACTAACCCAAAACTAAGTACAATCCGGAATGGAGCTTGGTTGGTAAGTACGCTGCTATGACCTATCCTTGCTGGTCTTGTAGTCGGCTGAAAATACGTCTGCCCCACTGTGCGAAACCATTTCTTCACTATAGAAGTCGAGAACTATAGATAGATAGTTTTTAATGGTCGTCAATGTAACTACCGATAGTTATCGATATTTTTTAATAGTTTTTTTTATTAATTATTATTATCTAATTTCTAGTTCATGTTTTGCTCGAGCGTTCCGTTGTCTTCGTTTTGTGGTAGAAATTGTATTTACGTTTTCTATTATTCTTTTCTAACAATTAGAAGTTGTATTTATTATTTTATTCAATATAATTGCTCTTAACATTTGTTTTTTTTAATCTCTTAAAGTTAAAGGTGTCAAGTGGTTTATTAGTTTATGTTTATGTTAGGTAAAGATCGGAACTAGTTAAGAGTGTGAACCTACTTAAGATTTATGGGTTTATTAGTACTTTTTAAAGTCACGTCCTTTGGTCGGCTTGATTCTAATTTTAACTTGCTTTGCTGAATAGGCATTAGGTATTCTTTGGTCCATTAAGATGTTTGTTTATTATGTCCTGTTCACCTCTTTTAATTTTTTTACAGGAGAGGGTAAACACGAAATGCCAGTACTATCGATACCGGGGAAAGAGTGGATGTGTAGTTCAAGCGCTCTTAGTACCGATCCACAATAAAATTCTTAAAGAAACATAACTGTTATATACAGTGTAGTCGAGTAAAGCCCTGTGCGAAACAGTGCTACTATTTTGGGTTACTACATACCTGAACAGGTGAAATCAGGGTACCTGTTCTCCAAAGGGTTAATAGAAACATTTAATAATTCCTCCAAAGGCAATCTCTCAACGGCGAACATAGGGGTGAGGTTCGTGCGGACACGAAGTAATAAAGTGACAGGGGACTGGTCAAGGAATCACCTATTTAAAGAAAAAACAAGTCTAACAAAGAGCGAAAGGGATCATCATCACCAGCAGATTCTGATAAGTATTATTGCATGACCTAATACGCAAATCTGTAATAAAAACCTGGCAACAATTAATCATTACCGAAAACAGCGTACGTGTGTAAAAAAAAATCAAGTAAGAACGTCACAATATTATATTATTGTATTATATATGTTATGGCTAATGTGCAAACTTGGATAGTTTATAAACTAGCTGGATAGTTTATAAACTAGCCAAACTGTCAGCTATTTTAATTGAAAATTTATTTTCAACTAAATTAGCGGCTAGTTTACAAAATAACCAAGGATCTTGGCTAATTTACTTGAAATTATTAGGAAAACTAAAATAGCTCGATAGTTTGTATACTATCCAATTAAATTTGGCTAATATGAAAACCAAAATTTCTAGTAACACAAAATAGCCAAGCTTTAGCTAGTTTGTAAACTAACCAACTAATTCTCTGGCTAATTTATTAAAAAAGTGAGGTTACGGCATTGTTTTTCGTTTTGCCGGCTTAACCGGATTTGTTTTGTGCATTTTAACGTTTTTGAAATGAATCATAGGCAAAATTTTAAAGCTTCCTTGTTAGAAAACTCAACAACACAACCCTACCGACCCCGCCCCATTGGCTCCCCCCTGTCCCATTGGTCAAATGGTCAAAAATGAGAGAAAAAAACCCAAACTCAACAACACAACCCAACCGACCCCGCCCCATTGAGCAAAAAACCCAACTAAAATGGGCAAAAATGAGAGGAAAACCCAACTAAAATATGAGCTAACCCAACAAAAATTGGCAAAAATTGCGAAAATATGCAAAAAAATTGTAAGAAAAACTTGTAAAAAAATTAATTTTCATAAAATCCCGCAAAAGTCAAAATTGTGACGTTATACGAAATTAGCCAGAGAATTGGTTGGTTAGTTTACTAACTAGCTAAAGCTTGGCTATTTTGTATAACTAGAAATTTTGGTTTTCATATTAGCCAAACTGAATTGGATAGTATACAAACTATCCAGCTATTTTAGTTTCCCTAATAATTTCAAGTAAATTAGCCAAGATCCTTGGTTATTTTGTAAACTAGCCGCTAATTTAGTTGAATATATGTTTTCAATTAAAATAGCTGACAGTTTGGCTAGTTTATAAACTATCCAAGTTTGCACATTAGCCGTAACATATATATTATATAATATACGCATAAACTTACAGCCCAGCCACAAAGCAAAGCTTAAAAGATAACAAAAGTAAATAAACGAAACGCCCACGTAAAAATAACGTAAATAAACTATCTATTAAAGCATACGTTACACGCCGTTTTTCAAATTTTAATACGATACACCACAGGGCCGGCTTTATATATTTTGTATATTAATTTATATTTTTAAATTAAATTTGGAAAAAAAGTAAGAATGCAAAGATACAAATTAAATAATAATAAACGGTATAAACACTAATTTAACAACAAAATAAATAGTTCACCAACAAGGACAGGTTCTAGCAGCGTACTAACACCCCGGCTCAAAAATACAAGAACAGCACAGAAGATAAGAAGAACGACCCTATCAATAGCCAATGCAGACCATATGGTGGCATTCCACTACATACACTACAGGGCCGGCTTTATCTATTTTGTATATTAATATTTATATTTTTAAATTAAATTTGAAAAAAAGTAAGAATGCAAAGATATATATTAAATGAAAACGGTATAAACACTAATTTAGCAATAAAATAAATAAAGAATATACAAGGTTGGTAGCCGGAGTAAGCAAAGAACTAACATACCCACCCCCATTCACGAATACCAATTGAATGGAGTTACTAATAAGGCCTAGGTTGAGGAGGATTCCGGATTGTACTTAGTTTTGGGTCAGTTCAATGTCCTCCAAAAACCCTTCCTAAACTGGACGTATGGCCCGACCCGGCTGACAAAAATCCGGGAGCGGCCTTAACCTTTGACACTGTCATCCACGACCTCCTAGGGTGGATCTACCAGCCGGCGTAAAAACTTCGGATCCAACAAACACAGATAATGCTGTGATTTGGCGGGATACGCAGGAGAACGGAAAGGGGGTAAAATAACCCCGGGAGATTAGTGGATGATAATATATTTGGGGCCTGCCATACGTTCCCATACTCATACTCATACTCAGGAGAGGGTAAACACGGAATGCTTGGTAGTCTTGGTGAATTTCGGAATTACGAGTTTTTAGTATAGCGTCATGCAAATATTATTCAAATACTTATCCCTATTTTGCCTTGTTCACTCGTGATTGATCTTTTTTAGATTCCCGCCACAATGACAATGACAATGGGTGGCAGGGGTGATACTATGCACTTTGCACGTTAGTCATGGCCAGTAAGTTTAAGCACATTGGGATTCGGGAACTATACACAAAATACCGAAACTTGAATAATTACCTTTTAGTTATTCTAGATTGTGAGGCAAACAGATATATCTCTGACGGGTACAAGTAAGTAATACTGTCAAAACAACAAAATTACTAAGCTAATACTACTAATTACTAAGTTGGGAGACAATTTTTCTTGATTACAACGTTTTACTAAAATTACTATAATATTACATAATATATTTGTTTGTACCCCAGAGCCAAATTGTTTCAAGTCCACTTTTTTAAAATCACGTTACATATTCCGCTTTTCCGCTCTTTCCAATAATTATTATAAACAAGGTTAAGTGGTGGCTTATATTATTTTTTTTATATCAAAAACTAAGTAAACCAGGACTTATGTAAAAGGGTGGCTTTGAAAATAATCTTCGAGATCATGAAAAACTTTGTTAAAATTTAGCGCTATATATCCATGTGGGTATTGCAAATACGTAATAAATGATTATATTTATTAGTCATTTTTTATATATAAAAATGGATTTTTATTCCAACATTTTTATTTTTCATTTTGCTCTAATATAAAAATTAAGGGTAGGTACTTCTCTATTGGGCCAATTATACATTATACATTTCAAGTTTTATTAGTTTAATAATATATTTTAAGAAAGCAAAACTTTTTATAAAAAGTAACTTTTTTTAGTAAAATTAAAAATAAAAAAGTTTTACATATATAGAGAACTTACGCGGACACACTGTATATATAAAAATAAATTTAACATTATTTCTGGCATCAATTGTGCACGACGCGTCTATTCAACGTAGAAGTCGACAGCGAAAAACATTAAAATTGTCATGTGAAATCGACCTCAATACGTCCATTAGGCGTTGAGTAAACCGCAAAAATTATATTAGATTTTAAAGCGAGTTTCTTACCTGCACCTGTCCATGATGAATATCATCGAGAATGGCATTGTCTTGGGACAGTGATCGGGTGGTCAGTTTTTTGCGCCGTCTTTTGTGCATGGTAAGAAATTTTCCGGAACAAGCCGGCGTCGGACTTGATCCCATTGCATCTAATAGGATTAAATCTCCGTTGCTGTGCCGAGGCCCCTTTGGTTCTGTAAATAAATAACAATAGTTAACACCTTTCAGCTATTTAAAAAGATTTTTAATTAAAAAAAAAAACAGATCCGGAGTTGGAGAACGGTAATTCCGGCTAATACAAAGTACCTACATGTACTTTTTATGCATGGTCCTATAGGTTATAACCGAGGGGTCAACCACACCTGGGAATCCCTGGACATTTTAGAGGGTTTATAACATAGGAATACAATGGGAATACAATGGAAAATGCCTAGACGTTTTCTCTTTGGGGGGTAGGTTATTACCAACCGGATGAATTTATGCATTTCATAGTTAAAGCCAAATGTCAATGAAATCTCAGGCAACATTCAAAAGAGTTTATACAAAGAGGCCACAAAGGGGGATCGACGACAAGGTGAAGAAGAGGAGGAAGATTTACTATTATATAACACAGTACAACACGATTTTCCTCCCATGAACAGATTTTAAAAATAATTTATTATATATATATATATATATATATATATATATGCTTCAAAAAATTTTTTTTTTGCTCTTACCCTCTCAAATGTTTTTATTTAATATAAAAAAAATCCTCACCAAATATGGGCGTTCCAGCTCAACTCTAAGAGGTCGCTGTTTTTATTTTAGTTTCCCATTGAATTAACATGGGAAAAAATTAATTTATGTTTGGAATTTTATACCTCTGTATCAAAGTAACTACCTCGAATAACTCTAGAAGAAATCAATTTATCGAAAAATAATAGGAAACCTTTTTTGTAGAGCGTTAAATTTTATATAAGAAACTGCTTTTTTGTAAAAAAATAATTTATTATAAATTTTTATTTATATTTTTCGTGTACGTCTATTCCTTAAATCCCGTATTACATTCTGCAATTTTATGTGCAATACAAAATACTCTTGCACGAAGGCATGCGCATAGCGAAGTTACGTGCAAGTCAATCGCCGTTTCAAAATATCCTACTAGATTTTTATTGTCAGTTGCAAGTCGAGAAAATGTTGGTATCTTTTTTTATACCAATCCATACTTTAAATTCCCTAGAGACGCTGGATTGTTTCTTTGTGTTCTTAATTCTATTTCAAAATATATATTATAATGCCGTGTGGCAGGTTTCAGGCGCTGGTTGCGTCAAAATAGAAGTGTAGAAAATAAATACATCTTTCACAACATATATAATTTAACGGAAAATTAATAGAAAACACAAAATAAGTAAACAAAATATAACAAAACTTATAAAATACCTATAAGAAAACAAATAAAATCCAACAAAACATATAATACACCTGTAACAAAACAAATAAAATCAAACAAAACATATAAAAAGTACCTTTAAATATAAAATTCAAATTATAATGTCTTTTTGTAATTACCCCCCCCCCTTATCGACGCCCTTGAAAGGAGCACCGATAGATGTACCTTCAAATGCATAGACCGAACTCTAAACAACTTTTTTCTGTTGCCTGTGTGTCTAAATCGCTTTTTTCGAATACCAATGGCTCTAAAACCGATAACAGAAAGTCCAAATTATAACCGTTTTTTCGTCCAGAAGATTTACTTCTCGATCAACTGTATTTTTTTCGATATTTTCGTCCAATTTTGTCCGTTTACCAAAGTTTGGGGAAAAGTTGCTTCAGGACGGTCATCAATTTTTTTTCCTTAAAAATGGTTTAAATTCGTTAAAAACTTTTTAAAGAGGAAATTAAGCAAACAAAGCCACGAATTGAACAAAAATGGTCGGACAATTTTTTTTTTATTAAAAATTACTTAACCGGTTTAAATTTGTTTAATTAGATATATTTGAATATTTTGTTCTGCAAAATGGTTAAAAATCTGATTTAAAATGGATCCGTCAAAAAAAAATTAAAAATATTTTCTTGTTCGATTTGTTCGATCCCTCTTGAAAAGGCCCATGATTATATATACATATTGAAAACCTGGTGTCAAGATTGAAAGGAGTGTGTACAATGCGAATACTTAAAAATTATGTCAATGTGGAAACTTTGAGGACGTATATTTCGCGAACTTTCACAGTTTGTAAAGATATGTTCTAATTTTCTGGGGCCAAGGACGTAACATATTTTCTGCTTTCAAAGTTTAAAAAAGAGCGATACGCATTCTATGCAACTTAAAATCTTGCAGAGCATAACTTCTTCAAAAACAACCATATCTTGACACTTGTAATATTTACATGAACTCGTTTTGTTTTTGGTATAAATTTTACCAAATTTGACTGTTACAAACTGTTTCACCCAGAAACTTAAACTTCATAAATTAACAATGCTTAAAATATGTTTAATGTTTAATAAATTTAATAACAAAATACCTCCTCATATAAAATCTTCACAGACTTTAAATCTTAAATATTTAGAAACAAACTCTTCAAATATATTTGTACCCTATACATTAGCAGAATTTTAAATACATTGTATTTTATATTTGTGGCGACTAGTGGGAGAAAAAGGACCCTCTAGCGTGGAGTTCGCCGTATAAGCGTGGTACCCACTGATGGGCAAGTACCCGGTATGTACCAGGTATTTACCGTATACCCGGTATATGGTAAATACTAAAGTATTGTTAATTTAAGGTAGTTTAACAAATTGCACTTAAAAATAATGAACACATGTTAAAAAATACATTTCAAATTAAACAAAATGAATACAAAAAACATAAGTTAAACAAAACAAAACTATGTTTTATAAATTTAAATGCGTAATGCATTATTTTTAAATTAAAATATATGTAATTTTCGCCTGGGTATATCCTCAAGATTATTTTTGCACATTATTTTTTTTTTGAAAATAGGAAATTTGATAACGACCCAGCAAAAAAGGAATACAGGGTTTTGTTCCCTACAATTAGGTAAAGTAAATGGGAGTCCTTACGTGGACCACTCTGTATATTTACTATTTTAGTAATAAGTAATTAATATGCAACAAATAAAATAATTATAACACTTTTTAAGCAGCGCGCTAAAGCACAAACATTTTTCCACTTTTAGAAGTAAATTTATAAGAAACGATTGGGAAAAATTAACATATTAATATATGACATTTTGTATATTTAGGATTAATTTAAATATTTCGATAATATTTTTAACCAAAAAAGTAATAGTATAGGTACTATAGTATTAATTTTACTAACGAGATTCTTCGTTTACACTTAGGTTCACAGTGAACCTAATATTCGTATATACGAATCGCTATTTAAGGTATCTTCTATCTTTGATTTTTTAGTGTGGTGTACCTAGTGTAATTAGTAGCATCTTTAATATTACCTACAAAGCAGCCCTAGCGAATTCACCGAACTGTCCATTTACCTAAATTTTGCGTTGATTTAGCGTTGATTTAATAAATTTTAACGCAAGTTGCCAATTTTTGAGTTAAAATATTGGATTATAACGTACAGTTGGCGCAAAAAAATTGCGTTAAGTTGAACCAAAACGTAACTCAAATTTGACTAAAATTTAACGTAAGTTTTGCGATAACCGATTTTTTGTATAAAATATTTGCGTTGAATTTGCATTGATTTTGCGTTTATTTTGAGTCAATTTTGAGTTTATGGTTAGGTTACCGATTTTACTCAAACATTTTTTGTATAAAATATTTACGTTAAATTTGCGTTGATTTTGCGTTCATTTTGAGTCAATTTTGACTTTTTAATTAAGTTGACGATTTTACTCAAACATTTTTTGTATAAAATATTTACGTTAAATATGCGTTGATTTAGCGTTCATTTGGAGTCAATTTTAACTATTTGGTTAAGTTACCGATTTTACTTTAACATTTTTTGTAATATTTGCGTTGAATTTGCGTTTATTTTGAGGCAATTTTGACTTTATGGTTAGGTTACCGATTTTACTCAAACATTTTTTGTATAAAATATTTACGTTAAATTTGCGTTGATTTTGCGTTCATTTTGAGTCAATTTTGACTTTTTAATTAAGTTGACGATTTTACGCTAACATTTTTTGAATAAAATATTTGCGTTGATTTTGAGTATATTTTGAGTCAATTTTGACTTTTTATTATAATTCTGTAATTTTAATTTGTTTATTTCTTTTTATAAAAATATTCTTAAATTTGCGTTTACTTTGCATTAAATTTGGGTTTCTATAGAGTCAATTTTGATTTTTTATTATAAGTCACTAAAAAATCACTGTTTTGATATTTTAAGTTATCTTTGGACATTAATGACTTAATCAAAAGCATATAAAATAATTTATTGAAATAAGTAATTAAAGACATAAGTAACACATTTTAAGTAAAAAAGGACAAACAATGTTCATACTAGTAATACTTTTCTCTATTATTTTTATACTTACAAGAAATTACCAAAATAAGTTTTTTTTAAATTTATATTATAATTTAAAAACTTAAAAGTATCCACCAAACTGTTTTTTTATGCAAAAATAAAATTTAAAAATCTTCTCTATTTTACTACCTCAAATGTCACATAAAACCTTTATCCACTTATGTCTTCAATTAATGTATTTTTATAAAAATTTATTGTCTAATATTTGCGTTCAGTTTGCGTTGAGTTTACGTTAATTTTGAGTTAATTTTGATTTTTTATTTAAAGTCACTAAAACATCACTGTATTAGATATTTTAAGTTTTTTTTAGTTAGACATAAATGATTTAAATCAAAAGCATATAAAAATAAATTATAAAAAGTAATGATCAATATATTTTTATAAAAATTTTATTTCAATATTTGCGTTAAGTTTTCGTTGATTTTGCGATAATTTTGAGTCAATTTTGATTTTTTATTAAAAGTCCCTAAAAATTACTTTATTTGATTTTTTTTAACTTAATTTTATTTGGACATTAATGTCTAACTAAAATTAACTTAAAAAATAATTATTGATTGAAATCAAAAGCATATGAAAATAAATCATAATATATATTAAAAATTGATTTAAAAAAATATTATGTCCAATATTTGAGTAAGTTTTGCGATAACTGTTTAGCTTTACAAACGTTAATTTTCAAATTGCGCGCTCAACAGCGCCAAG